TAAGATAGATACAGAGACAATGCAGGAGAATGAGTGGACAGCTGGAAGGAGTAAAGGAAAGCAGGAGGATTGCAGGTGGCTTGAAGGGACCCTGGAGAGATTCATGGTCAGGGATTTTCAGTGACACCTGACAGCATGGTGATGATGTTTTCTCCAAAATCATTCAACTGCGCAGGTGCAAAAAGGAGTGGATGGCAGCTTGGATTTAATTAGTACTATGATTTCACCACGCAGGCATGATGAAGGAGAGCAGACAGTGGACCTTCAAGTACACCCCAAGGATCGAGTCCAGGGGTTGGTTAGGTAATATGTGCCGGATTAGGAGAGAAACGAGAGCAGGAAGTAGAGGGACTGAGAAAAGGAGTTTGGGATGGATGGCTGGAAGGCCCTTGGTGTTGGACAATAAACCAGAGAGCCGAGGCTGTGTCCAGAGGGCTGTGTGTATGGAACCCATGTACAGGGAGATCAGAACAATCAGGGGCCAAGTCTGAAGCTGAGATGTGAGAGGAGGGCAGGGAGCTAAGGGGCCAAAGTGTGAGAAGGAGCAACTGCTTGTCTAATGAAATCACTAAGAATTAATTCAGAGTCAGAAACAGAGGCAGTACACTTCACAGAATTCAGGTGAGTAGCCCAAGGTCAGCCATGGTCCAGCGGCTATAGGTAAGGGCAGGAGACTCATACTCTGTGGGAAAAGATAGTTTGAATTGTGACAAGAAGAGAAAAGAGCTATTAAAAAATCTGAAGACATAGCAAGCTTTCCTAAAGGCAGGTTTGAACTCCAAGGGTCCTGTGGAATATTTCAGAACTTAGGGGAGGTGGAAAGGGGGAAGGAAAGAGGCAAGCCGCGGATGTGAGGCCAGATCTCAGGGTACCAGGAAAGAGGCAAGCCGGGGATGTGAGGCCGGATCTCAGGGTACCAGGAAAGAGGCAAGCCGAGGATGTGAGGCCGGATCTCAGGGTACCAGGAAAGAGGCAAGCCCGGGATGTGAGGCCAGATCTCAGGGTACCAGGAAAGAGGCTAGCCGAGGATGTGAGGCCAGATCTCAGGGTACCAGGAAAGAGGCAAGCCCGGGATGTGAGGCCAGATCTCAGGGTACCTTTGTAAATAGAAATGAGAAGCACAATGAGCTCCGTCCTTCTGGGCTCCTAATGGTTCTGATTAACATGGAAATGCAGTGGAGGACAAGTACAGGACTCTCTGGATCATGGTGGAGGGATGTCAGGAGGCCTGAAGGGAAGCTGTCTTACTCAGAAAACCGAACTCTCCCTGAGGCACATGACAACAGCCCAAATGCAATGGCGGGGATGTACACCTGTAATAGGGCTCATCTCTTGAGCTCTCTTTGAAGGATAGGTCTAGAGAAATGGGCTCAAGAACTGAAAGTCTGATCATCGTGTCCAGCTCTGAAGACATTCCCTGATGAGCCAGTCTCAGTGCAGAGACCCAGCCCAGATGTTCTGCACGTTGATCACAGTCAGCACTCATCCCCCTGATTGGTTGCTGCCTCCAGCTTCACACCACCTGGCCTGTAATAGTTTGTAGGAGCGTCTGGAGAGTTGGCTCAGTGGTTAAGAGCACTGACTGCTCTTCCAGAGGTCCTGAGTTCAATCCCCGGCACCCACATGGTAACACACAACCACCTATCACTGAAGTCCCATGGGATCTGATCCCCTCTTCTGGTATGTGTACATACATGAGACAAACACCCATAAACATGAAGTACATAAATAAGTCTTTTAAAATATAATTCATGGGAACTAGTTCAAATGAAACTCACGTTAGTTGAGTTGTCCGTAGGCTACTCTCTGTTGTGAGGTTTTTGTATATGTTTTCTCCTCTGATCTTCATGTCAACCCAATGAGGTAAGAGCAATGATTGTCATAATTCAGAATTGAAAGACCTGAGATTAACAGAGGGACAAAAACCTAGACAAGGTCACACAGCAAGGGGACTTGAAGTCAAATCTGTCCATTCTACAATTGGCCTTTGTAACCACAACATGGTGATTATCAATGGCCACACTGGGAGGGACATCTTCTTTGGATGCATATAAGGAATCTCTGAGCAGGGCTGCAGAGATGGCCGAGCAGTTAAGAGCACTTGCTGCTCTTACAGAGGACCCAGGTTTGTTCCCCAGTACTCATTTGGTGGCTCACAACCATCTAAAACTCCAGTTCCAGGGGATCTGATGCCCTCCTCTGGCCTCTGTGGGTACCATGCATTAAGCAGAACACTAATACACATAGGACAAAACTAAGTAAAATGTTTCTTAAAAATCTCTGGTTCCTGTTCCCAGAACTAGCCCACATGTATCGTCACCCCCTTCGCTTAAATCTCACACCCAAGCACCCATTTTATTTTGTTCTTTTTGCAAGATCCACTGCAACTTCCCTCCCACCCCTGTGGTTTCAGAAGTCTTTGTTTTTGCTTCTGCTGCAGATGTGAAAAGCTGGCTCGTGATGTTCGGATTTCAGCTCAGCAACATCATTCCCGGATTCCCAAGAGCCAAAATGTATTTTGTGCCTCCCCCCTATGAACTGTCCGAGAGTCAAGCAAGTGAAAATGGACAGGTAAGTGGTAAGGTCAGGGGAAGGCTCTTGACGAGAATCCCAACAACCGTCTTCATTCCCTGTCATAGACAGCGCCACGTGGGAGATGGGGGCCTGCTGGGAAAGGGACACCGAGGCTGGGTATAAAAGCAAGGAAAGAGCAGAGACTTCCCAGGCCGAGAGAATGCCCCCTGCCATCCTTTCTAGTGTGGCCCATATTTCTTCCCAACCTCAATGATTACCTTAATTGTGGTATCATTATCTATTCAGTATCTACCCTCCGGTCACTTCTTGATTAACAGTAGCCCAGAGATATCCAGTGGCACCCTGCCATCTGCACTGCTGTAAGATCATAACCCTTTCAGCTTTTATGGGAGACGATAAAACTGTGGTTTGCAGTTTCTGTCCCATTAAAGAACATTTTTATGCCCTGCATAAAACCCCAGCGTGTTATGGCCCAAATGCATACAGATTGAGTTCTTAGAACATAATTTGTGCCTGGGTCTCCCTTTGATGGCCAAAGGGTGGTCAGTTTCAATTTGGGTGCAGCTGAGACCTCAGCCACTAGCAGATGGGCAGCGCGGGAGCTGCATTGAGCTGACCCCCAATACAGGACTGGGGCTATGCTCTGTGGACGTCTGGAAGGTCTCAGCTGCTCTGAATAGTCGTCCAGATTGTGTGACTATAGAGCGGCAAGGAGGAGCTGCTGGATAATTGAGAACAGCATTCTCTCCATCCTGCCCCTCGGGGACCACTCAGTGGATGAATAGCCATCATTCCTCTCATTTATCTAAGTACCGTTACCTCCCAAACACAGCCTCTTCCATTATTCCAGCCTGTCCCCCAACCACCAATTGAGACAAGTTGTCATTTGTGAGGGGAGAACTCAAGGCCAAGGAGATAATGGAGATTTCATTCCTCTGCAGAACCAGGGCTGAGATCCAAAACAATGGACTCTGAGTGGGAAGGAGGGGTATTCCTCTGGCCCTCACAGCCTGGATCTCTTAGCTTCAAGCCCTCGAATATGAATATGCACACAAATCACCTAGAGTACCTGGCTAGAACACGGCCTCAGCCTGGAGGCCTGAGAACGGCTTTACTAACAGAGCAGTCCATCCCAGATATCCATCTGTGGCTGCTCTCACTTTGAGTAAAGGTGGTGAATCCCCAAGTCACTGGTTTTGGAGCTGGGCAGGTTACAGCAGCAGGGGTGCCAGCCACTCAGATACCTGATCCCCACATCAGGACATCCCTGGGTCTGAAATGTACCAGGCAGCTGCAGCACCACAAGTGCAAAATATCTCTTGGCTCCCACAGTTGGGGTGCACAACCTGGGTATAGACTTGGGCGAGGTGGAGAACCTCCTTCGCCATATTTTATTGAGTGGCATGGGGGCAAGATGGTCAGAGCACCGCCTTAGGGGACTGGGAACCAGCCAGACTGCCCTAGGTACCAAAGGTCGGGATGTATTGGTATGTTTTAGGACAGTCTATCAATCCTGGCAGAGGAGTTTTCATCACTCGTCTCTCCAGTTCTTGCTTCACGCACTGCCTAGGCTACCTTCTGACCTTTCCCTTTTGTCTTGTGCCCACAGCTCATTACGGGTGTCCAGCAGACCACCGAGAGGCATAACCAGGCCTTCCTGGCTCTAGAAGGACAGGTCATCTCCAAAAAGCTCCATGCCAGCATCCGAGAGAAAGCAGGCCACTGGTTTGCTACCACCACGCCCATCATCGGCAAAGGCATCATGTTTGCCATCAAAGAAGGGCGGGTGACCACAGGTGTATCCAGCATAGCCAGCGAGGATAGCCGCAAGGTGGCGTCTGTGTTGAACAACGCCTACTACCTGGACAAGATGCACTACAGCATCGAGGGCAAGGACACGCACTACTTTGTGAAGATCGGGGCGGCGGACGGTGACCTGGTCACACTGGGCACCACCATTGGGCGCAAGGTGCTGGAGAGCGGGGTGAACGTGACCGTGTCACAGCCCACGCTGCTGGTGAATGGCAGGACTCGAAGGTTCACCAACATTGAGTTCCAGTACTCCACACTGCTGCTCAGCATCCGCTACGGCCTCACCCCCGACACGCTGGACGAAGAGAAGGCCCGAGTCATGGACCAAGCGAGACAGAGGGCCCTGGGCACTGCCTGGGCCAAGGAGCAGCAGAAAGCCAGGGACGGGAGAGAGGGCAGCCGCCTGTGGACGGAGGGCGAGAAGCAGCAACTCCTAAGCACGGGACGGGTGCAAGGTTATGAGGGCTATTACGTGCTTCCGGTGGAACAGTACCCAGAGCTGGCAGACAGTAGCAGCAACATCCAGTTCTTAAGACAGAATGAGATGGGAAAGAGGTAACAAAATAATCTGCTGCCACCTCTTCTCTGGGTGGCTCAGCAGGAGCAACTGTGACCTCCTCTCCTAAGGAGACGAAGACCTAACAGGGGCACTGAGGCCAGGCTGCTTTAGGATCCCAAGTGGCAAGAAAGCTCACATTTTTTGAGTTCAAATGCTACTGTCCAAGCGCAAAGTCCCTCATCCTGAAGTAGACTAGAGCTCAGCCACAAATTCTGAGGAAAAACAAAACAAAAGGATGAAAACGAATGAATGAACAAACACACAAAATGTTTCAAGTTCCCCTAAAATACGACCCACTTGTTCCGGGTCTGAAGCAGAAAAGAGACGCAGAACAGCCAAAAGGAAAAGGAACCGAAAACAGCGAACAAAACAAACAGAACAGACAAACAAAGACGAACACACCGACCGTACAAACGAAGACGTGAAGACGAGAAGGCCTCACATCCTAATACCTCACTCATACACAACGTGAGCAACACAGAGACATTCACAAGGGCCGCCGTCACCAGACCAGCCGAGGACGACTCAGACTGATGGTTGGACAAACACTTCCGACGTTTTCGTTTAAAGCAAATACAGGTGCATTTAAAAAAAAAAAAAAAAAACACGACTTTGGGGGTGATTTGTGTGTAGCGCCTGGGGAGGGGGGGCACAAAAGTGGAAGAGCGAGCACTGGAAATACTTTTTAAAGAAAAAGAAAAACGCAAGAAAAAAAAGAGAGAAAGAAAATAAATTAATATCGGCAGTCAAAGCGAAACAATACCGTCGGGCACTTAACTCTCAGGTCTCTACTTAGTCAGGCCTGAGCTAATTTATTTGAGGGCAGAGTGTAAAATGTAATTCAAAATGGTGGCTATACTCACTACACATAAATCTCATACTCTTTTTGTCTTTGGAGATTCCATTGTGGACAGTAATCCGCAGTTACAGGGTGTAGTCTGTTTAGATTCCGTAGTTCGTGGGTATCAGTTGCGGTAGAGGTGCGACATTTGTGACTCTGTTGCTAACGGTACCACTTCCGATCGCCCTGTACATACATGACGCCGCAAGGCGCAATCACTGTTTCAGACTTTAAACTATTAGTGTGTTTGTTTGGTCCAGAAACTGAGACAATCACATGACAGTCACCACGAGGAGAGAAAATAAAAACATAAATAAAATAAAAACAAAAAAATTTTAAAAACAAAACAAAAAAAAAAGTCTAATAAGAACTTTGGTACAGGAACTTTTTTGTAATATACATGTATGAATTGTTCATCGAGTTTTTATATTAATTTTAATTTGCTGCTAAGCAAAGACTAGGGACAGGCAAAGATAATTTATGGCAAAGTGTTTAAATTGTTTATACATAAATAAAGTCTCTAAAACTCCTGTGGACACTGGTCTTCTGTGGAAATGTTTTATACTGCGGTAGAGGCTAGAGGAACGGGCGCAGCTGGGATGGATTCTCACTACCTAAGCTCATCCGGATCCGGGAGCCCTTATCCCTAAAGCTTAGAACCTGGAAAGCAAGGGGATTGGAATTTCTTTTCTTTCTTCCTTCCTTACTTACTTTCTTCCTTTTTTTCAGATTTTAGAAAAAGATGAGATTCACTTATGGTCCATATACATTATACACAGAGTCTGACCACCACTATACGGTGTTTAGCCTCTTGTTTTGCTTTAGGACAGGGTCTCCTAGATAGCCCAGGCTGTCCTAGAGTAACTCGCTATGGAGACCAAGCTCAGACTTGCCAAGCTCTGCCTGCCTATCCCCCCAAGTGCTGGGATTAAAGGAATGTGCCATCCATCACACCTGACAACACGGTTCTTTTAAATAATGCGGTGCCTGCAGCAGAGTTTCATGGTTAGGAATCTTCATAGATTCTTCCTTGGACCTGTGTTCGACAACTTTAGATTTGAGGTGTTTGGATTAGGGATGATCAGCCTGGACTTGGACCACTTGGGAAAACCTTTTGTTTGATTGTGGCTTGGGGTTTCATTTGGGAGGAAGGGATCCTTTTGTTTGTGTTTTGTTTTATGGTGTGGGGTAGGGGACACTGAGACAGGGTCCCGTGTAGTCCAAGCTCGCCTCACACTTGCTATGTAGTCAGTGTTGACTTTGAATGTCTGATCCTCCTGCCTCCACCACGCAAGTGCTGAAATGACAGATGTGTGGCCCCTCACCCAGCTCTGGAGCATCTTAGTGTGCACCCCCAAAATGCTCTGGCGGTTCTGAGACTTCTCCACCTATATCTGCAGATCTTTGTGGTGGGCAGGAGAATCTGGCCTTGATGTATGGGGCTATTAGGACCCTCGGGCCTGCCTGTACATGGATAGATGCCTCAAGGCCTCCTGGGACACCTGGACCCCTTTCTGTCACAACTTTGTGATTGTGTGTGTGTGTGTGTGTGTGTGTGTGTGTGTGTGTGTGTTTTGAGACAGGGTTTCTCTGTGTAACAATCCTGGTTGTCCTGGAACTCACTCTGGGACCAGATTGGCCTTGAGATCTGCCTGCCACTGCCTCCCAGAGCTGGGATTAAAGGCGTGCGCCACCATGACCCACCTTCTGTCACCACTTTCTAGCTAAGCAAATCAGTAGCAGAAAACCCAGGGTGACCACACTCACCCCTTTGGAAGCTTGCACACTGTTTGTGTGCTCACATATTCTTCCCAGCTAGATCAACATGCCCCCAGACTTAAACATTTTGGGCTAATCAAGTGACAGGAGCCCTTTGGAGTTTTAATTTAACTTTTATTTCATACCACTTCTACAGTTAAAATAGCATCAACAGCAAGCATGAACCTGTGCTTTCTGAGTTGCCATTCTCGATACCGAGGGCTCTGCCGTGCGGTCTTTCCGTTCACTGAACAGTGTCTTATAGAGAACTCATCACAGCGGCCAGGCTAAGGGCTGGGGTGCAGAAGAGAAGTAGACACAACCAGGAACTCACATCCCATAAACTTCCAGGCAGATGAACGGGGAGACAGTAGACCAAGGATGGCTCTAGACATAAAAATGGCAGGATGTGTCGGTGCTGAGAAAGAAGACCGTGACGCAACGGCAGGAACAGAAAGTTCCGTAACAACAGGAAGACGTTCATTTCAGTGGCATAAGCAAATGCCGTGGGGATGGCGTGCAGGACAAGGAGAAGCAGCTGATATAGTCTCACAAGTGAGATGAGGAGAAGGCTGAGGGCACCATCAACCTCAGGCAGAGGTAACACACCACTCCAGAGGAGAATCTGGGGGTACGCCGAGCAGACGGAATTCAAGACTGCTCTCCCGAGTCATCCACTTTGCAGGTGGAAAATGCTAATGGACAGTCTCTATCTGGTAAGTGGAGAAATCAGACTCAATGCTCCTGTGTCCGTGACTTTTCCTGGAAATCTGACTAACGGGCCTGCCTCCCTGAGACCCTCCTGAGAGCTGCAACCCTCTGCCTTGTGGGTCATCCAGGCACTTTTCAAGTGGCCTCCACAACAGAAAGAAAGGGAGCTGGGGTTAGCCTGACTTCAGTTAGCCTGACTTAAACCAGGCCTTAGGAGCTACCAGCAGAACAAGCTGTGATTAAGAAGGCAAGCCCGAAAAGGAACATGACTCCAGGAGCACCCCTCTCTGTGCAAGTGGCCTGATTTCACAGATGGGGAATGTACGGAGACGGGGCTGTCATCCTCAGGCGGAGGCAGGTCGAGATGGCTCCTTCTGTGGACTTTGGGACCTGGAGACACAATCACAGAGCAGCCTCAGATGCTGGTGGTAGAACCTTCTGTGGGATGAGACAGGGTGATGTCTCACCATGTAGCTGTACCCGAGAAAGCAGGGACAGGCGAGGGGCCAGAGGACACTCATTCAGCCCAAGACTTCTGTGTGCCTGCAGCCTCTTGAGAAGCACATGGGAGAAGGATTGGACAAGCAGGAAAGCATCTTCTCTTTGAGGTCTGCCATCTTTGAAATGTCCCTGTTAAATCCCAGCCGATCCAACCCCACATGGTACCCCACAGAGATCAACTATAGCAGGAAAGCAGCTTTGGCTGAAGAACCCCTCAGCTCTCCTCAAGCCAGGACAATGACAGGCGGAGAGTTCTCGAAAGGGTTCTTTAAGAGTGCGCACTCTAACAGCACGCCTGAGAACCAGTCCTCTTTGTTTGTTTTCTTTTTGTTTTTCGAGACAGGGTTTTTCTGTGTAACAATCCTGGCTGTCCTGGAACTCACTGTGTAGACCAGACTGACCTCAATCTCACAGAGATGCACCTGTCTCTGCCTCCTGAGTGTTGGGATTAAAGACGTGCGCCACCACTGGCCGGCTTCTGGGAACCAGTTCTGACTCAGCTACCCACTAAATGGGGGAATGGGGCAGGAGATGTGGCTCAGTAGTACAACACCTGCTTAACCTGTGCAAGGGCCTGGGCTCCATCCCTAGCATGCAAAAAGAAACAAAGATGCTGGAAGTAGCACACCCTTAATCCCAGCATTCCAGACGCAGAGGCAGACAAATCTCTGAGTTCAAGCCCAGCCTGGTCTATATAGCAAGTTCCAGGCCAAACAGGGCTACATGGTGAGACTATGTTATTTAAAAAAAAAAAATGTGTGAGGGAGGCCTGGAGGGATGGCTCAGTGGTTAGAGAACACTGACATCTCTTCCAGAGAACCCAGGTTCAGTTCCTAGCGTCTACATGGCAACTCACAACAGGCTGTAATTCTAATTCCAGGGGTTGCATTGCCCTCTTCTGGCCACTGCAGGACGGGGACTGCATGCACACTGTGCCCACATATGCAGGCAAAACACCCATCCACACAAAATTAAAACTTAAAATTGTGGAAACTAGAAGTTACACATACCAATTGGATAAAAAAAATTATTGGTTACTTAAAGAGATAAACTCAACACAAGATAACATCTCCTCAGAAAGCCTGTCTCACTTAAACAGTAGTGCACTGTGTCTCGGGGTAAGCCAGGTGACCACTAAACAAGACATGGTAAGGGCTTAATATTGTTTTCTGTCATGTTTAAACCTTTGTCCCAAGCACGGGTTGGTTTTTGCTTTTGTTTGGTTTGTTGTTTTGTTTGTTTTTTTTTTATTTATTTATTATGCATACAATATTCTGTCTGTGTGTATGTCTGCAGGCCAGAAGAGGGCACCAGACCTCATTACAGATGGTTGTGAGCCACCAGGTGGTTGCCGGAAATTGAACTCAGGACCTTTGGAAGAGCAGGCAATGCTCTTAACCACTGATCCATCTCTCCAGCCCCCGGTTGTTTTTGTTTTTGTTTTATTTTGTTTTTTTTTTTTTTTTAAAAAGATCATTGGGAGGGGGGTTCTCATCAGGCAGCTAGGTAGGACACTCTACAGTCACTTTGTCAAGAGTTCCTCCCAGCCACCCTCTCAGGTCCAGGGAGTTCCGGCAAGCGCCTTCAGCACTCCACCCTTGTTCATGGCCTTAAGAGGTTTTCAGAAAGAGTGACATTTGGAGGTTAAGGATCTCAGCAACATGAAGTCTGGCTGTCTGAGTGGGACCTCCATTCGGGCATTCATCCGTGTATCAACATTCCCAGTCGCCAGGCACAGTCCGTCCCTGGCACCTGTCAAAAGTGGGCAGTGCAAACAAAGACGACTAACACCTGCTCAGAACCCTCTCCAGCGGGTCGGTGTGAGGCTCACACAGTGAGGTCAGAGCTGGTGCGGGCTGATAAACTAGAACAGGAAGCAAGGAGAAGACCCTGCTGTCTCCATGAACATCTAAGCTGGACACCAGCAGCCAAGAGACCAGGGGATGATCCGGTGCTAAACCGAGCCAGAGTTCGTGTTCAAATAGATCGTCAGAAGGTGAGAAGGCTGCAGGGGGGGCTGCCTGGTGAACGAGGGAGCCGTGACTCAGAGATAGAGGCTTGTTTGGCAAGCGCAAAGGCCCTGCTGGCTTTCACCCCATCACTAGGAAGCGAGGTGCAGAAATCACCTGGAACCTCCTAGGCAGAAGCCACAAGCCCATACAATCAGGACCTCTCCTAGAATGTGAGCTAAATTAGGAGCCAGGTGTTGAGGCCCGTGGGCGGCTTCACTTGCTGGCTGCACGGGAAAGCAATTTAAGGCAGGAGGAGCGTGGCCTGAGATGAGCCCCTCCCCAGAGACTCAGCCAGGGAGCCGAAGCGTCTCGGTTCACCTTTGTGAGGTGAGTGTGCGGTGTTCTTCTCAGTGCGTAGAAATGACAGCGGAGGGGTACTATCAGAAGAGAGCAAGAAGAGGGTCGAAAGGGCTGGAGAGGCAGGGCCTCCTGGGGCCCCCAGCCTGCTCAAGGAAGGAAGGGTCCGTAACTTCTTGGAGTTGGTGACAGTGTCAGATT